GGGGGGTTGCCAAGTTTGGAGCCGTTTGCATTTGTTACGTAGATCAGAGTTGGGTAATTAAGGGCTGCCCTGCTCATACTCAGGACTAGTGGGTGCCAGTTGAGGCCACAGACTGGGCCATGGCACGGTTCGCTGGTGACCCTCCTCAAGTTGAGTGTGAGGATGTGAGTGTCTGAAGACCAGTCACCTGCTCCTATTAGTGGGTCTGCTGATTCCTGCACCCAGGGCAGTTTGATGAAGAGCTTTTGTTTTCTGTTATGTTTCTTTAGGCAAGGATTGTTGTGTTTGTATTTTTTGGTGCCTTTGTTTGTTTGTTTGTTTGTTTTTAGCTTTTCTGGCAAGGAGAAAGTGAGTTTGTGAGAGGTGGGGGGAAGTTTATTTATTTATTTAGCTTATTCTCCTTTTTGAGAATAGTAATGACAGGATCTATTAATAGTCAGAAAAAATGTAAAATGCCTTCTTCATGGTCACAACATTATTCAGAGGCTCAGATTTGAATTCAAGCCTCTCTAACTCCAGAAGTGTGTCACTATCATGGTTTACAGATAATGTTTCAGGCTCAGTAACTATATTTTTCAGGCTTCTGCCTTTAGAAAGGTAGGCTCTGTCTTTGTTATTGGACTGCACTAAAGAAGAGAGTACTTATCAAAACGGACAGCAAATTGAAAAGACTTAACCCCCAACCCCCACCCCCACCCCCGCAAAACCTGCTCTTGTTTTGGCTCCCCTCATACTCTGTGCTGCTTGGAGTGCTTTCATGTTAGATGAGTGTCGGGTCGCTGTGGTTGTAAAGAACTTGAAGCGGTTTCTTCTTTGTAGAAAGTTCCAGTGCTCAGTAAGTGTTACCTAAGTAGTTGCTGTCATCAGTAGCAGCATAATTCGCAGCAGCAGCAGCACTTGACAGTTGACAGGATTGAGCACCTCCTTTTCTGTTATTAATGACTTGAGGCTCATACTTTCGAGGACGGTTCAGAAAGTTTGCAGGAAAATCTCATTGTCTTTTATATCAGTTTATCCACAAACTTTTTGACGCTTATTGTCCATAGTTCTAACCCTCTACCTGTCCTAAATAAATAATGAGAAATTTCAACCCCTTTTCATTTCTTTCCTTAGCCAGGCACTGCTGAGCCTCTGATGGCTTTGAGGTATACTGTCTTCTGATTTCTCTTTCACGTCACTGTTTTTTTAATAATTTTATTAGGGGCTCATACAACTCTTATCACAATCCATACACACATCAATTGTGTAAAGCACATTTGTACATTCATTGCCCTCATCATTCTCAAAACATTTGCTCTCCACTTAAGCCCCTGGCATCAGGTCCTCTTTTTTCCCCCCTCCCTGCTCCCCCATCCCTCATGAACCCTTGATAATTTATAAATTATTATTGTGTCATGTCTTGCCCTGTCCGATGTCTCCCTTCACCCACTTTTCTGTTGTCCGTCCCCCAGGGAGGAGGTCACATGTAGATCCTTGTAATCAGTTCCCCATTTCCAACCCACCCTCCCTCTATGCTCCCCTTTACTAATCCCCACCCACATGACACTACTAGCTGCCACAAAATCGTGATTGGTGGCAGAACAATTTCTCACAGCAGCAGGCAAGTCTATGATTTGGATACTGACCACTTTTGATAGAAAAGCTCACAAGACAGATGGACATTGGGCCGCCACTCAAGTACTCCCTCAATGCAAGAACACTTTGTTCTATTAAACTGGCATTCCATGATGCTCCCCTTCCCGACACGATCCTGAAGGCAAATGGGTGCATAAGCAAATATGGTGAAGAAAGCTGATGGAGCCCAGCTATATCAAGAGATATAGCATCTGGGGTCTTAAAGGCTTGAAAGTAAACAAGTGGCCATCTAGCCCAGAAGCAACAAAGTCCACATGGAAGAAGCACCAGTGTGTGTGATCACGAGGGGTCGATAGGATCAGGTATCAGGCATCAAAGAACAAAAAATCATACTGTGAGTGAGGGGGAGTATGGAGTGGGGACCCAAAGCCCATCTGTAGGCAACTGGACACCCCCTCACAGAAGGGTCTGGGGAGGAGACGAGCCAGTCAGGGTGCAGTATAGCAATGATGAAACACAACTTTCTTTTAGTTTTGTAATGCTTCTTTCCCCCGACTATCATGATCCCAATTCTACCTTACAAATTTGGCTAGACCAGTGGACATACACTGGTACAGATAGGAATTGGAAACAGAGAATCCAAGACCAGTGGTGACAGTGGCAATACTGGGAGGGTAAGGAGAATGTGGGGGAGAAATGGGGAACCGATCACAATGATCTACTATAACCCCCTCCCAGGGGAACTGACAACAGAAAAGTGGATGAAAGGAGACGTCGGACAGTGTAAGACATGACAAAATAATAATTTATAAATTATCAAGGGTTCGGGAGGGAAGAAGGGTCTGGGAGGGAGGGGGAAAAATTAGAAGCTGGTAACCAAGAGCTCAAGTAGAAAGAAAATGTTTTAAAAATGATGAGGGCAGCAAATGTACACGTGTGCTTAACACACTGGATGTATATTTGGATTGTGATAAGAGTTGTAGGAGCCCCCAATAAAATGATTTATAAAAAGAAAAGCTCACAGGATTGTTTCAGTGCCCTCTGACTAGGGCACGCAGGGCATGACTCATGCCTACATGACCTTAAAGCCAAACTCGCTGCCATCAAGTCCGTTTTGAGTCCTAGCACCCTACGGGACAGAGTAGAACTGCCCTCGTGAGTGTGTGGTGAAGGGGAAATTCTCAGTATTGGCATTTCTGCCCCTAGTCCCTTA